AAAAAAAAAAAAAAAAACAGGAGGATCTGCGTTGGGAGTGGTCTCTAGCTAGAAGTACTTGGGTGTGCATCTGAATGACAACCTCAGCATGGGGCAACAACACCACCAGCCCAGAGCCCTGTAAAGAGAGGGCTCTGCACCAGCCTGATCAAGAAAGCTCATCAGAGACTCTACGTCCTCAGGCGGCTGAGGTGAGCTGGTCTGGGAAGCTCAGTCCTCACCTCCTTCTACAGGTGTGCAGTGGAGAACATCCTGTGCTCCAGCATCAACATGTGGCATGGAGGCTGCACAGCTGCAGAAAGAAAAGCTTTGCAGAGAGTGGTGAAAGCTGCACAGAAGTCTGTTGGAGTCAGCCTCCCCACCATCATACATCTACACCTCCAGATGCAGGAAGAGGACCACCTGCATCATGAAGGACCCCACTCACCCAGCACACACACTTTTTGCCCCGCTCCCCACAGGCAGGAGGTTGAGGATCATTAAGTGTAGAACCACTAGACTGAGGAACAGCTTCTACACTGAGGTTAGACTCATGAATCTCTAACCAGGAAAATTACTGTTTAAAAATCACATCATGTTGCTGCTGATTTTATGTCATGTTGCTGTATTCATTCGTACTCATCTGCTCACACAAGACTCATGTTCGTGCTGCTGTTCGGCATATTATTTTATACTACTAGTGCTTAGTGTATTTTTAGTTAACGTTTTTCTTAGTTCATATCTTAGATGTTATCATTGTTTTTCTTTTACATTTTATTGTTGGATGTAACTGGGACCCTGTGTACATAATTTCGCTCCACCACATGTACCAGTTCTAGTTCATATCTTGGATCTTATTACTGCTTTTCTTTTACATTTTATGCCATTTTATGTGTGTGTGTAACAACAGTACTTATTTTTCATCATTAGCTTAATTGGCTAAGCTAACCCTAAAAGTGAATGACCGTTTGTAACCTCACCTGAAGTCTCGCGATACTACGAGGCGGAAGTGATCCAGCGAGTTTTTCGTAGAGAACTGTAAAGAGCGATAGTTTAGGGCGGCGGGAGGGGTGAACAGTTTGTTTTGACAATAAACCGGTAAGCACAAACTCCTGTTCGTTCGTCTTCGAACAAACTTACGTTTTGCGTGTTCAGAGGATATTTAGTTGTCAAATTAAATGTTGTTTAATTTCCAGTATTTGCGTAAAGACCTCCAGCCGGCGAATCGCATCAGTTCGCCCGGAGGGTCATCGTCAGCGGCGACACCCTCTGTGCTGTCAGCCTCGACTGTTTAGAAAATGACCGGAGAGAAGATCCGCTCCCTGCGCACGAACCAGAGACCAAACAAGGACGAGGACTTACTGGAGCCGGACGAAGAAGCTGCCACCGGGACGTTCACCGCCTCCTCCAACAAGGCGAACAAGAGCAGGGCGAGTAAAATATTCAGCAATCACAAGTTAATCAAGTCGCCATCCACGCAACAACAGCAGAACCAACAATCTCCGATTAATGCCAACACGAACACACTGTCAACATCGGAAGTTATTGATGACAACAACAAAAACCCCATTATCCGAACTGAGCTGGACTTCCCGGTGCACGAGTGTGTGTTTAGAGGAGATGTCCGGCGCCTGTCCTCGCTCATCCGGACACAGAACATCGCCCAGAAAGACATCCATGGTAAGTTCAGCAGCTGGTTCTTACATTAGCCCTGAAGGCAGGATCCATATAAAATCAGTTCCAGTGGGATCTACCGATTTCAAACTCCAGTGAAGCTTAGTTTTAGCCAATAAGGCCGTTAGTCTCTATCAGCAGAGTGGAAGTAGGCCTGGTTGGTTAACTGATGTCTGATCAACTATTTGCCTTACATCCAGTTACTTCAAGTCAAAACAGCAGAACATGTGAGTATCTTTTCAGTCTATGGCAATGGAAAAAAATAATCAGGTTGTCTGTCACCAACCCCCCCATCTGAGATAAGTAATCTTAATATACAACACTGTTATATCAAGGCGTGCTCTTCTGCTCAGATAACATCACAGGTTCCAAATAAATCCTTCTCCGACCACCAAAATGATAGAATTGTCAGTTTCTGGCTCTCACACCAGAATAAAAGTTGGTCTGTACTTGTACTCGCTGGTCACACTGGAACGAGCTCCCTGACATGTAGGTCCATGTAGGTCGTTCCAGTTCAGCTAAACAATATAAACTGTCATTATGTGTCACCAGATTAAGCACATTGAAATAAGGTTTAATATGTTTGTTTTTTTTACCATACATACAGTTTTAGATATCAAAACGCAAACTAACTGAATTAATTCACATTGTAGCTAAAATTGAGTATTCTGGTCCACTGAAATCCATTATAATGAGAACGTTTACAACTGCTAGTAATGTTTTAGCAGCTTTTATCTTTAGCGAATGACTTAAATGTTATTACAAGTGAAAATGAACACAACTCAAAAAAGTCAGGATACTAAGAAACTTAAACTTTTTTTATTATTTTTCCAACTTTTTAAAAGTTCTCTCTCTTTTTAAAAAAAAAGCATTTCTGCCTTATGATTGTTTTAATAAAAGGCCAAAGATGGATCTTTTAAATTTTGCACAGTTAAATTGAAGGTCTTCTGCATGTGGAAAAGCACCGCAGTTATGATTAACGAATTATTTATGATAGTGCTGAACTGACCCTTACAGAGCCTTTGAACTGGAGGAATCCCAGCTGTGAAGGCACTGGAAGCCTGAAAGGGCTGTTCAGCTTCCTCTGAAACTTTCCCATGATTAGAACACATTTTTACATCCTGGAGTGAAAACCTGAGCTTTTCCACACTTGAAAAATGTCTTTTTTTTTTGCTTAGCACATTTCTAGTGTGTCAGACTTGCCATGCAGCTTTTATAATGTGTCAGTTAACAGGCCATGTCAGTGCGTGTAAAAATGTGATTATATTTTGTTGCGGTTGGTAACATGGCTTGTCGTGATTGGAGAAATCCACAATTGGCATACATTGCCTTATGATTTGGAATTTAGTGGAATGTAATTCACCCTGGCTGTGCCAAATTGCTTGTCTCGCTGCTCTTATTGTCAAATGCAGCATACAAAGTGACTTTTGTCTCTTCCTCAGGAAACACACCGTTACATCTCGCCGTCATGATGGGTCAGAAAGGTGAGCAGAGTTTGAATGTCACTGCCATGCGACTTATTTTGTCTCCGTCTGTGTTGCTATGTAAATGACTACATGTGAATGGGTTTATGACTCATGTTTCAGTGTTGTCAGTTGAATATTCTGCCTTTGTGTGTGCATTTGTCTGTCACTGCACCACCAGACTTTTTGTCACATATCTCTATACAAATCCCCAAAGGGTATTTGTTTGTTTTCTTGTTGTTTGTTTTTTTTACTCGAAATTATCCTGGTTAGAATTAGAACAGAAAAATGCATTTTTCTTTCTTATTTGGGCTTTGTTTTTATCCTATTATTTTGTAGATTATATTGAATATTACTTTATCTCTTACAAGGGAAAAATTATGTCACTGTAAAAATAAGATTCTCTCAGCAGCTCAAATCTCCTATTTTGACAGATGTTTCACAGCTGGCTTAGTAATAATAATTTTAAACGGCTACTGAAGACAAATAGTCCAGATAATTATAAGATAATATTTGCCACATCTGTTAAAAGGAGTTTTCTGCCCGCACCACTTTGGATAAGTTGTGGTAAAGAGAACACAAGTGTTTCACGTCTTCAGAAGCTGATGTTTTAATTAACTTTTGACAACCTAATATTATTGAATATGCCTTGATTTCTTAAGCCTTTTGTAGAGATTTGTTTTTAGACGAATTGCTGTGAAATGAAAGCACGCGTATACAATATTAAAACGGTGTCTCTTTGTGATTCAGTTCTTATGTTTAATTTCTCAGATTTCAGAATGTGCTTCTGAAAAATTAATTCGTCTTATGTTTTGCTGCAGGCACCTGATATGCATGTCAGACATGATGCACAGCAGTTACTCGCTGTGTTCTGTGTCGGTCATTGGAGCACAGGCTTCAATTGATTTCACATTCAGTAAGGTCATTTACTGTCCCTGACATCTGGGCCCTGCCACCACCGACTGGTAACTCAACCAGCCGAGTGACAAAGAGTTGTGGCAGAGACGATGCTCCTGGATTGATTTTGCTAATGAGGATGCCTCTCTCCTGCCTGAGTTCCCCTTGTCCTTCAGGGATGCTCTGGCGAGACGGGCTCAAATCTATTGCATGAGATCACAGTTTGGGTGTGGCTGCCCTGCTGGGATGCAGAGCACAAGGCTCTCTTTGTGTATGGCTTTGCATGTGTGCATATACACAAGAGCAGTTTAAAAAAACAAAAAACTGAACGATCACACCAATAGAAATATTTAGAAATGTAAATAAATAAATAAAAAAGCCAGTCTTGCAACAGTGGAGGTCGAGCACAATACAGAACAGATGGCTGGTGTCCTATCTGTGTTGTAAGAGAGTTATTGAATGAAACCTGCCTCCTGTAACGCTGCTCTGCTGTTTAATCGTGCAGCTGAGAGTGTGACTGATGGCAGAAAAAGACTTTTGAAAAATCTGTTCAGACTTGACCAGAAGAGGTGATGGTGTTTTTCACAGCTAGCAGCCTCATCTGAAGTCAGTGCACACGGTGTAGTATTAGATTTGTTCATCTCCCTCATTTATTCCTTGAATTCAGGATATTCATATGGCTGCTGTTCATTCAACTCTACAGGGATACTTGGCTTTTAGTGATTAGACTGAAATGAAAGCAAAGGCTGGAAGCATGTTTGTTTATTATGATTTTCTAGTTTAATAAAGTTTATTTTTGATCATAAAATACACTAAATGTGATTGCATTATATTTGTAATACATAAAAGCTTGTACTGCTCTAAGATGATCACTATAACTAATTAGTGAAAAATGCTGCCAAGTGGCCATGAGAGCTTAAATTTCAGCAAGATCTTATTGCTTATGCCAACTAAGTTTATGAAATTTAAGAGACTTTGTACATGAGATTGATTCAGCGTAATGAAATGTTACTAATTCTATCCATAAATGGAAGTTTGTTGCAGCTGTTGTTACAAATAAAATTATAATCAATTCCCTCTTGTCAATGAGTCCTCGTGGCTCAACGAGGCTAGCCTGTATAAATAAAGGTTGAATGAATGAATATTATAAAGCATTTGTTTGCACTATCATTAGGACTTGAAATATCACGAGTCCATCATGAGCCAGATGAGGTACTTAAAATGCCCTTATCCCAGATCAGAAGCTGCCATTTGTTTAGCTCAGGACATAAGGCCCGGCTGCGCTTTTCCACGGTTTCGTACATCTGCTAAATGTTATTACAGAACCATCAGATTTAGCAGAGTGATGTTGAGGTCGGAGGCCTAAGGGAATACGAGGCTTGCATCAGAAAAAGACTGTGCATTCGTTCGCCTTCCTTTTCTTGACACTGGGCTCTGCGATCAGCTGCTTCATTCTCGGGCCCTGTCGCAGAGAGGGTTTGCTGACCTTGGGCTGTTTGTGCTGCATTTTGCTGCTGTTTGTTTCTGTCACTCCAGCTTCGGTTTAATTAAAACATGCAACATAAGTCACATGAAAGCCAAAGTAGACAGAGGACAGGGTTTCAAACGGTGTTAAGCAGAGCAGGAAAGAAATTAAACAAGAATCAGTGCTGTGTTTCACTTTCCTTTCTATACCAACTTCTTGCAATGATAGTGTTTAAAAATGCTTTAAAAAATGCTGCATGGTTACTGTTCCAACATGCCTTTTTCATTTTTCTGTAATACATTCTTTAGATACATTTGCTTGTTTTAAGTTTAATTGGGAACACTTTAAACATGTTCCTCTCTTTCATTAAGAATGGATGAGACCTTGGCCAATTTCTCATTAATAAATCATTTTCAGGAGGTTGATGTGGGATTGTGAAAACGTGTTTCATTCAAAAGGCACACGTTATGCTTTCAGGTTTGCTCTGACTACATGTAGTTGTTTTTTTTTCTCTACATTTACAGTGCCTATAAATACATTAACCCCTTTGATGTTTGATGCTTTTATTGCTGTCCGAAAGCAGTCGCGGTCAATACAAAGTGGCCTTTACAAAAAATGATAAACAAAACAAACTTCAATGTCAAAGTGAAATCAAATTTCTATGGAGTGATACCAAAGAAAAGTGTTTCAGTTAGAATTTTGCTAAATCTAGTAGATATTCGGCTTGTCACTATAACAAATTTTGCTGGGCAATTAATTGTCTCTGAAATTATTGCGATAAACGATAATATTTTTTGAAATTTGACAATAATTAGTCATTATTGTTAAATTGAAGAAGAAATATTTAATTTGTTTTGAGTGTAGTACTTTTTTCAACCACCGGATGGCATCATAAGACTGTTTGAGCCGAAGGATGGATAGTGAGGGAGCGAGAAGCGCGTCTCTAAGAAAAATGAGAGGGAAGCCCCTTGACGTGACATGGGCTGTCTCTCCTTCCTTTTTTAGTTCTCAAAATGGTGGACGCTCGGTGTGGTTTGAGCTCTTTAGCATAGCATTTTTCACACAAAGCTTTTAATAAAAAATCAGTAAACAAGTTCTCAGCTTCATTTTGCAGAGAAAAACAACTTTTTACGCAAAGGCACGGGTTTCAACCGTGAATTTTGGAGCTTCGACAAGACGGAGGTTTATTCCCCGAGGTCGGCCTGTTAGCTTAGCTCATAGCTTAGCTTCTCAGCTAAGCTGCTTTTAACGATCCAAAAATGCAATTTTGGATGGTTTAAGCATATTTTAAAGATAAAACAGAAAGGGAGGGGTCAGTGAAGAGGCAGAGTTTCTTTATTGTCATTCGCACCTCATGTGGTACATGTGGTGGAGCGAAATTATGTACACAGGGTCCCAGTTACATCCAACAATAAAATGTATAAGAAAAACAGTAATAACATCTAAGATATGAACTAAGAAAAACATCAACTAAATATACACTAAGCACTCATAACATAAAACATTGAACATCAGCACAAACATGAACATGAGTCTGTGAGCAGATGTGCACGCATGAACACATCAACATTGAAACAGAGCACCGGAGTTGAGCCTTTTGTCATCCAGTGTCTTCAGTAGAAAGCGAGAGACATGAAGAAACGATAAAGACGATAAATGAAAGTGAGGTTGAAGCCGGGTTGTAATAAATGCATGGACTAATTTTTCAAGGTCGGATCTGGACAGGACAGACTTGAGCTTAGCTATCTGCCTTAGCTGAAATAAGCTTTTTTGAAGAACAGAATTTATCTGCTTATTAAACTTAAAGTCCGAGTCTAAAACTATCCCGAGATTGTTAACAGACTGTTTTAGATGTGGCTGAAGGGAGTCCAGGTTTGCAGGATCAGTGACAGTGGTAGAGCTAGAGTTAAACACAATGACCTCAGTCTTCTGATCATTAAAACTCAAAAAGTTTGCAGGCATCCAAGTCTTGATGTCATGATGTCATCAAGACATTTTAACAAAGGGCGAATGGAGGTGGCACTGTTGGGTGTTAACGGCATATAAATCTGAGAGTCATCAGCATAACAATGAAAGGAAAGACCAAGTTTCCTCAGGATAGACCATAAGGGGAGGAGATACAAATAAAACAGAAGGGATCCAAGAATGGAGCCTTGCGGGACCCCGCAGGAAAGAGGCACTGAAGTAGATAGAGTGTTAGCAAAATTAACACAGAAACTCCTGTCGCTCAGGTATGAATAGAACTTTGGCATCAAAGACAGTTTTAATTTTTTTTTTAAATAAAGCCTATTTATACTGGCCATAAAAGTATAGTATAGACATTAATATATATATAAATATATATATATATACATATATATATATATATATATATATACACAATAACAAATTTCCTCCACTAGTCTAATTAGTCATTGAAAAGTCTGTTTAACCAGCTGTAAAATAAATCCTGGCTCCATTATCTGAAAGCCCAGTGTATCCACTCAGCCTTGTTGGTGTTACGCCTCAGTTTGCAGGACTGCAACTGCTCTGCTGGGACAAAGTTGTACAGATGCCAGCATTATATCGAATGATGTCACAATCACAACAAAGCTGACAGCTAAGCCGGAACAACAGACTTCACTTTTGGCTGGCTTCAGTTTGTTGACAAGCTGCCCAGAGAGCAGAGGGATTTTTCTGCTGCACTAAGTGCTGATTCCACCATAAAAAAAAGACCAAGGCTCTTTGGGAATTTTTCATTTTTATTTGTTGGATTACATGTACAGTTTTTAGGGTGACTCTAGACAGCATCGAAAGACGTTGTTGTGAGATGTATTTTAGTATTCCCCAGAATCCATGCTATAAATATTAATCCTAAAATGGAGATTGCAGCATCTTGTGTAACGTTAGGCCCCATATGACTCTGCTGATTAATGGGTCGGCTGCCATCTCAATCCTTCATACAGTCTGTCCATCTATAAAGCGTTTATTAAACTCCACCATAAAGTGGTGAAATATGTTCATGATAAGAGCATCAGATTAAATAGAAGCCTGCAGGAACAGAAAGCGAAGAAGTGACATAATCTCAGTGGAAGAGGAATTTGTCCAGAAAGCTGGTCCGTGTGTTCTGTAAGTAATTATAGCAGCATCAAAGATGGTGACAAAAAAAGTTCATTAAAAAATCTGAATGTTTTCTGTCCTGGTATATTTTGTGGGAATTATAAATGAGTAGAATCAAGATGTTAGATTTAAACAAATAGAGAATAATCTCACAAGCTTGCTTTTTAAAAATTCAAATCAGTTTTTGGCCTTTTTGTATTTTTGGTTGTCTCTGTTTTAAAAGAAAATTGTTTTCATTTTGAGGAATTTTTATTTTTCAACTGTACTTTTTAAGGTTTTGATGCAGAGTTGTTCTTTGTTCAAGTCAAAAATGCATGTAAAACCATTTCTCAGAGCACCTTGATGTTTGTGAAACATTTTCTTCTCTTTATGAACATATTTCTTCTTGATTGTCATTTTTACAGAGTGTGCCCATTTGCTTCTGGCCCACAACGCACCGGTGAAGGTGAAAAATGCTCAGGGATGGAGCCCCCTCGCTGAGGCCATCAGTTATGGAGACAGGCAGATGAGTAAGTGTCTTTAACAAACTGACTGCCACTGCTTGGTTTACAAGATACTGAAACTGAGCTTTGAGGCTCACCACAGGTCATATGATGTCAGTCATTAATGGCTGTCACTGTGGCTTCGGTGCAGGTCTCAGTCAAGTTTTACTATAAAAACCTTGATGAGACAGAAAAAGTTTTGATACAAATAAGCAAATAGTCCAGCACATTCCTCCACACTGCAGCCTCTCAGTGAGGCCTTGATGGTGGCCTGCCTCTTTTGTTCCTCGGAGACATTCCTCAAGGCCCTCTGGCTCTGCACTCGAATGAAAGGATATTCATTAGATATTTCTCCCACACTTTATTGACTGATTATTCTCAAGCCCAGCATACAGTTCACAGTGGCCAGAACTTTGATTTGACATTTTGTATCGTTTCATGCAAAAACAACTAACATTAAAATATAGATTGAATTGAACAAAATTTAATCAGAAAACTGGTTCAAATGTTGTTAGCAAAAACTGAAATTCTGTGTTCTGGTAGACCAAAAAAATCATGATAACCTGCTAGCCAGAATGAAAAAGGTGCTAAATCAGCCTTCTTAAAGTCTAATTAACATACCGGTACCTAAATAATGTAGTTCACAGTTGACTTTTTTTTTAAGTTTTAGGTTTATTTGAGCATTAAGTGGTTAAGACACTCTGCATTTGCTTTCTACATTTTATCACAGGCTTTAACTTGGAGGTAACTGAAGATTCAGGCAGTATGGAAAGAAAGGAACAAACAAACAAAACAGCAAGAACAGAAATTTTTCAAAACCACATGATGGGACATGCACATGTTATACTGCTTTCCAGTCTAGTTCCTATCTTGGTACCAATTTGCTGCCTGTAGCTGTCGTTTTTTTTTTTTTTTTTTTAAAGATCTGTGAGATTATAGGTCAACCAGAAAAAGCTCAGTACCAACAAGCTAAAAGGGGGCATATTTTTACCTGACACAGTTCAAGAATTAATTTTTTTTTTTTTTTCTTGTGCGATCCTGGCTCAAAAACAATAATCCAACAAGTGGGTATACAGCGAGAATAGATAAATAATCTGTATTTAATTTGAACTGAGGCTTGAAAACCATATCCTACAGACATTTAAGACTTGAGTTAACTTTGTCCTCAGATTTTTAGAACTGCACTTTGTGATGTTTTTTCTTGTGTTGTTTTGGATCAGCTGACAGGTACAGGATCACCCTGCTGGCAGATGCTACAGCAGGTCGGTCAAAAATGACTGGTTTTAGAAACTAATTAAACTTGAGCCTCAAATGCACAAAATCAAAGAAACTATCAAGCCTGGCCACTGTAGTGACAGTTTAACAGCAGGCAGCTGACTACACAGAAAAACACAGACTTTACCCTCCATATAGGACCTGACATGGCTGTTATGGTGGCATTATAGCAGAAATGTGCTGATGTTCGTAAATCGAGACTATTTTCTGCATTCAGCACAATAAAAGTTGAGTCCTTTACAAGGTTAGCCTGGCAGAGCTCTGCCACACAAGTATTCAGATTTGAGTCAGCATTTGTCAGGACTTTGTGTGGGAAGTAGACCTAAAAGCTTTTGTTTGTTTCACAGACAAACATCCCGGCCTGACTTGGAGTGAGAGTATTTGCTGTAGTTTTAGAGGTCTGGATCTGGAACTCATTCATTTCTCACAAAAACCAGAGTTATTATTTCTTTTACAAGGTGTGAAACATATGGAATGCCATTTAAGGAATGAAAACTAAATGCTATTTTAAGCAGTTTTTTTTTATTATTATTATTTTTATATCTGCTTAGATTTGTTGTGGTGCATTTATCACTTGAGTGCTTTTGTTTTTCTCCAGGAGTCCAAATGTTTCAGAAGTAGTTGTTATAGGCCGAGCTATTTGTGTTCTCAGTTGTCTTTCACTCACACAGCTGTGCTGCCTCAGGAGGCTTTAAAGACCTTCTCAGAGATTGGTGTTATTAGCTGCTTCTCCAAGGGAGTGCCAGACAGCCATGGTTTCAGCAGCATGAATACGATGACACAAATCTGTCTGCTGAAACTGTCAGAATTTATGACAAGTTTGGTTAATGTCTAGTTGGCTTTTTTATGATACACGTCTTAACTTTGATTTTTGAAGAGGTTACATTTTAATGTATAGTGCAAAACCATTGACATAAAACATACAGAGCAACATAAAGAAAGGCTTACTTGCTCTTTAAAAAGTCAGATTCTAATGAAGTATATTAGTTTAAGCCTTATTAACCTCCATCCCCTCTGGTCCACACTGCTCTCACCCACCTGGAGAAGAAGGACTCCTACATCCGTATGTTCTTTGGGGACTTCATGTCTGCCTTCAATACCATGATTCCCCAGACTCTGATGGACAAACTACTCACACTAGGACTAAGCCCCTCCATTTGCATCTGGGTCCTAGACTTGTTAACAAACAGACCACAGTCTGTGAGGTTCCAAAACTTCTTCTCCACCATAACCCTCAGCACTGGCTCCCCTCAGGGCTGTGTGCTGAGCCCCCTCCTGTTCACTCATGTTTCCTACATGTAATTGAAACTCTGGAAACACAGAACACCGCTGCTGTTGTGCTGCCAGCTGTCTCTTATGCCCCATTTGCACTGTTCCTACTCAGCCCTCCACGAAAAATCGCTATTCCACTAGTACTTTTTAGCTGATTTGAGGCTGATTCGGGACCTTGTTTTGTCCCTGCTGCTCTGGCGGCACCGTGCGAGCTGAGTCGGGACCGAAACGTGAATGCAGGACACTGATTGGTCAGGGGGAGGAGTCACTGGATCTCAGAAACTTTTCACCGATCCACCATTTGTAATTTCTCGGAATGCAGAGCAGTGGCTGGATCTATTTTTAAGATTTTTAAAACAATAATGACAACACCGTGTTTAATGCTGAAGTCCAGGCATTTTTTGTGCTTGATGACCGATGACAAAATTTGAACAAGCGGAGTCACGGAGGATCATACGAGCTGCCGACCTATTGAAGCACACGAGGCCGCACCCCGAGCCCCGGCCTCGTGTGCTCATAAAGGCTGGATTCCAAGCCCTGGCAGGTGGGAGGGATGGAGGGTGGAAACATAAACATAAAAAAAACATTTTATGTATAAAAAAGAATGTGTTTTTTTTTATCAGTGAAGAATAAAAATAAACAGTGCCAGCTTTATCATTAAATCCTGTTTTCCCTTTGACTTTATTAAATAATCTGTTAATTAAAGTTAGCTCAGCTGAAAAATCATAAAAAAGACAAAATTATTGGATCTCTCAGGAATATTTCCCTCAAACATGTTTAAAAAAGAGCCTTTGGTTAAACTTTATTCTAACCCACAGATGCACGAATCACAAAACAAGAATTACACTTTAAATCACTGCTTGATCATTGTTTGATTGGTCCTATCTCTTCAAATGAGGATTGACAACTTTTTCTATATTTTATAGAAAGTCAGTAAGGTGAGAAATAACATTGATCACTGATCATCACTTAAATCACTAAAATAAAATCTGTATACAAGAAACAAAACCATATAGCAAAAAATCTGAACAATAAACGTAGACAGAATGAGTGCAAATACATAAAATGAGGAATAAAATATGGAATTTTAAATATAAATGTTTTTGTAGGATCTGCTTCATCAGGTTTAATTCGGTTTATATAGTGACAAATCACAAAAGAAGTTGTCTCAGGGCACTGAACAGAAATATTCAAATATAAAATAAGTTAACAGAAACATTCATATTTAAAAATAATAATTTAACATTATTTATCTGAGGAGCAGACTGCTTTGACTTTAACTCATCGCAGAACTCTCACTCGGCAAATTAAAGTTCATTAAAAGTTCATTAGCAGGATTTTGGATTCTGGACACGCCTCCAGAACTGGTCCTGAATTGTGCTGCAAATCAGGCTGATCTGAGCAGGACTGAGCAGAGTGGCTGATTAGGAGCAGTGCAAAAGTGGCATAACTAGGGCCGCCAGTAGCTCTCGCTTTTTATTTTTTTGCGACCTGTCAATCAATCCAGTATGCGTATCAACAAATGGCCAATCTGCAACCTCAATTTGTCTGGAAAGTAAACGCCCCTTGCATGTGGAGCTGGGCTGCAGCCCATCAGGGTGTATGCTTGAGTATTTTATTTTATTTTTCATTTACCTTTTATTTATACAGATAGTCTCATTGAGTCACAAGAACTAATTTTCAAGAGATACCTGTTTTTGGAAGCAGATGGTGAGGGTTAAGGGCCTTTCTCAAGGGCCCAGAGTGGGGCAAATGAGGGTGAAGACAGGTACGGGTGTTTCACCTTTTCTACCCACATTTTTGATTTTGTCAGTACCGGGAGTTGGACCTGTGACTTTCTGATCACAGGCCCATCTTCTCTAACCTCTGCTCCACTTGAAGTCTCAACCGTCTGTGCAGTGTCTGCGAGGCTCACGGAGTATACACAGTACGTATGAGTATGTGGGAGCCTTAGGGTGCATTCACACCAGCCCTGTTGTCCCGAACTCTAGCCCGTTTGCCTAGGAAGTCCAGTTCGTTTGGGGAGGTGTGAACTCGCCATCGAACTCTGTCACTGAACAAAATGGCAAACTCTGACCCGGGCTAAAACCTAGGTCTCGATCCGGTAGAAGAAAACTCCAGCGCGGTTCGAGTACAGTGTGAATGTTAGCAGACTGGGCACCGCTCCGCAAGCAGGGAGAGGACTACAACAGGGCAAACAAACACTCATTTCTCTTACCTCATATGGAGCGTCATCTTACCTTGTGTGAAAAACAACATTTTCCATGGTCTTCTGTCTCATCTTCCACTCATGCTGAGTCCATTGTTGAAAAATGACAAAATATAACTCCTAAAACCGCTCAAATTTGACGCCACTCCGTTTTTGTTTTTATTTCCAGAAGAAGTGTCTTCTTCAGAGGTTTTTGTTTCGTTTCTTTCAGTAGTTCTTGGTGCAGCGCCACCACAGGCGAGTGGGGGAACAGGTTGGTTCAAACAGGTTGGCTCGACTGCACAGTGCAGTGTGAATGCAAACGCAACAGCTCAAATGTAAACAAAATGTTATGAATATTGGTCCCCAACCAAACCGAGTCTACCGGACTATCAGGTGTGAAAACAACCTTAAACCAATAATTTCCTGGAAAACACCAAACCTCTCCTTTGTAGCAGCTACCCAGTCATTTTCATACTATCAGGAATTTACATCAATGTCACCAGAGTTCTACTTCCTGTTTACTTCCGGGATGAATGTAAAAAAAAACTGAACGCCCAAAATGGACCCACGACAGGTTTTAATGACGGTGGAGACGTTACTGCACTCCCTGACTGAGCTACAGATGATACAGATCATTTTGAGCTCTTTCAAAGTTTCTAGTAGAAATGTTGCGTCGCTCACTGACCAGTTTTGCTTCCCCGACATGCTAATATTATTAGCATTAGCCAGGCGGAAATACGTGAGGTAGACATTTGTCGCACATGTGCAGTCAGGTCAGTTTTTCACGATCGGAAAAAAATGAACTGATTAAGTGTTTACATTAACACCGTTCTGATTATGAATCGTCATAAACCACCCGTCTCATTCTGATTACAAATGCTTTCAGATTGAGCTGAATCAACAAAAAATAAGCCAAATGACACATTTTTATTCCGAATGGCCGTTTAAGCCGATCACTTGTGTTCATGTAAACATAGCTAGTGTGAGACTATATTATTTTATATAGATATAGTCTCATTTTACATCGCAAATTAAATTATACCGATATTTAAACCCTACTCACACCTATGGGCAATTTAAAGTTATCAGTCAGCCTAACATGTTACTGGTCCATGGGAGGAAACCGAAGTACCCAGAGAAAACCCACGCAAGCACAGAGAGAACATGCAAACTCCACCCAGAATGGTCCCCGGTTGGGATTTGATCTGGCGAACTTCTCACTGAGAGGCAACAGCTCTACCAACCGTGCCGCCTGTTTAGAAAGTCTTTGTTGCTAAACTACATTTTTACTTTTTTGTTTGTTTGTTTGTTCATAACAATGAAAAATGAGCACTTTATTTTACCTGTGCCATGCCGGTACACAGAGACTTCAAAGAAGACCCATGCTACTAATAACTAGACCCTGATTCTTGGATACCCGTCAGCTGAAGTTGTTAAATTAAATCAAGAGACTAATTGTTGAAAAGCGGTATTTTGTGGTAATGACATTAAATGGCAAAATTGTCTTGACTTGGTCTATTTTCATTAGTGTTTGAGGGGGGAATTACCAAGATCACTCAACTTATGTATGCCATGAAAGTGTCCTTAGAATCTGTGTGAATTAGTGCCAACATGGACAGAAAACCTGGTTTATTGCTGAATCTGTTGCTATTGGTTTCTTGCCCTGTTATTGTTGGGTGGTCCAGATGGTGAGGCTGTCCTTTTCTCTTCTCCTACTGAGAGGTGTTGAGGATCAAGAGGAGCCCCTTCCAGTGCTTGTCAGCTTTCATTAGACCTGACCACAAACATACTCTCAGGCTTTAGTTGTGTCTTTGTTAGTTAGCACATGTGTTGTCATGTGCATCAATGTGTGCTCATGCCTGTTCTCTTGTGTGGTCTCGTTTTACCTCTTCTCCCTCTGTTCTGCCACATGAGGAGCACCACTGAAACAATAAATGAATAACTTGCTTGTATGTACTGCATCACTATCACCATGTAGGGAGCCTTAGAGGTAGTCAGGCTTATGATAATGCTTTTCACTTTTTATTTTTACAACTTCTCCAAGCCTATAAGCGACAGTCTGGTGGTTATTTATTTCCTCTGGGTTTTGTCAAACTGTTGCACTATTTCACGAGCAACTGATCCCACTTCCTGGTAAATGACAAATGACATTTAAATAAGCTCCTCGTAGTCAGATGTGAGTTCCTTTTTCTTCTAGAGTGGGCTAAAGATTTATGAATGTGGTATAATGTGACTGGTCATGGTTAGGAGCACCCTGTGAGCATAGCTCTTCTTCAGGTTGTTAAGGAGGTTAAAGGCGCAGCTCATTACCAGGCAGCCTCATATCTGCCAGGCTCGTTCTCTTTGAACTTCCTGGAACGTTCTGATCCCTGCAGGCAGTGCAGGGAGGATTGACTGAATGATTCTGTCCCATCGAGCTCCAGGAAGTTGGCACATCTCTCAGGCAAAAACTATTGGTACTATATGTATATCAGATGGTCTTTCATGTGCTAGTTTCCCCTGTTGCTAGTATTTGCATAGATAAACTGGTAATTTAATATAGTTGACTTGTAGTATTTTGTCATGTATTTTGACCTCCCCCTATAAGCTATATGCTTTTCTGAGCTAAAGAAGTCACATTTGACTTACCATGCCCTACTATGATGCAGTTACAACATAAAGTATTGGTACCGTTCAAGACTCATTGTGCCATGTTTTTCCCACATTTCAGCGTTTGAAATAGTTTACTGATTGCATTCAGCACATGTTCAACACCATCTTCTTTCTAAAGCAAAGCCATAGAACGACTTGGACTGCAGGTGCTCTTAAAATATTCCTTTGGAAGTCTTAACAAAGTAGTTCAAATGAAAATGATGAGTCATCTGAAAACTTGATGTACTAGGGGTGCACTGATTTCCTTAATTTTGGAAAATCGGAAATCGGCCGATACTTGCACGAGAAATCGATATTACAGATTATTTTTTGTTGTTGTTTTAACAATGATTGTCTAAACTTCATTTATATTTCAGAGCACTACCTCATGACCAGTTAAAACAAGTTTGCATTGTTTCTAGGATATTGTTCAAAGGTATGTTTTTCAATGAAATAAGACTGGAAAATTGAGGTGCATTGTAACATTATAACAACTGATAGTGTTGCTTATAAAACTAAAACTAAATCGGAATCGGCAGGTCAGACTTTTTAGAAATCGGTGATCGGCCAGATAACTGCAATCGGTGCACCCCATGTACACAATGTACTTGTGATTCGGAATAGACTGAGAATGCCAAATCAACATAGTAGAGTGCAAGTAACAATTTAGTGCTTTTTGTCTTTGAGAAAAACATTTTTGAGCTCTGCTTTTTTTTTTTTTACTCGAGTGTTCGTGCTTTTGTTCTCAGTAATGCTTGCCTCTTTCTCCTCCCGTAGTCACAGCATTGCTGAGGAAGCTGAAGCAACAGTCCAGGGAGAGTGTGGAGGACAAAAGGCCCAAACTGCTCAAAGCCCTCAAGGAGGTATGCAGTCCTAAATGGTGCTTCTGCTGACCTCTAAGGAGTAACCCTTTGTGCTAATAAAATCTGTTTTCTCAGTTTGTTGCTGTTTGATTCTATCCTCTTTTACCTTGAACTTGCTTCATAAAAAAAAGTCTTTCTTTTCACAAGTTCTGAACAGATTTTTTTCTCTTATAGTACCTAAAATTACCATACACATGCATGGTCAGGGTTCTCAAATTCATAGGCAGTGTCTCAGGCTCGCAGACATAAACAGACCTCAGTCAAGCTTGTTATTCCTAAATTACTGTCATTACAGCAAGGCAAAGCAGGAGGCACACAGGCATGCACATTATCAAGTGGTCAAAGTAAAATGCATGAACCCTAATTAAAACCTCACAGTGCCTTCGTTGGGGTTTGGCGTCACTAACACACACAACCAACCTTTCACACATTTAATTTAGAGAACAATCCCATGAATTTCACTGGTCTTCACACTCTTGAATAATATTGCATGTGTGCATGCATATGTTCTGTAAAAATACAGACTTGCACACACTGATGGTAAACAGACTGTGCGACAGACCCTTACCAAACTTTTAGAATCAACGTTTTAATGGTTGTTGCTACTTTACCGACACCTCCAAACCTTTGATTCTCAGGATACAATGAGATCAGACCTGGATGATGGAGCACAGTAAATATTTTTCCTCATTGTGAACTATTCGCTGTCATTCCTGACAGGCTTCTGCATTTTGAGATAACAGCCACTTCATCCTTGCCTGACATTTATTTTGTACAGAGTTGTGTTTGCTTCAGGTCTGAAAGACAAGAATTCTGCATGTTTGATAGAGTCCTAATCAGTTAAAAGCCGAGGTGGTTACATTTGGTTATATTTCTTAGTCTGTGAATTGCAGTGAGTCTAAAATAAATATAGTCCTATTAACGTTTGTGGGCAAATCTAAATGCTTGTTTTCCTGATTCCTGTTGGACATCAAGCTTGTGTTTTTATAGAAAATAAAGCACCTTACTTCTCCCCACTTTTACTCTGAATTACTGAGCCCATTAGTGTTTGAGCTACTCTAATGTTCAACATCCTCATAGTGTAAAAGCTCAGTCTATTACAACTATTAATACAAAGCTGGATATAAATCAAACTAAGCTTCTTATTCGTTTTTGATGAACTTTTACCAAAAAAAATTATTGTTTTATGTCTGTAGAAAACTCATGGACCCTCCAAAGTAAACATTTTGTTTTAAATGACACTTATAGTGGTACTGAAGCAGACGAGTGAATGGACTGTACTTGTATAACACCTTTCTATCTTATCAAGACACTCAAAGTACATTACACTACAATCTGTGTCCTCATGTACTCATTCATTCGGCACTCTACTAGATCTCTACAAAGCTAATTGAACAAATCATTCTAAAGAGACTAATCAGTGCTTTAGATCACATTCATACACTGATAGGACACACATCAGAGGCAATGAGGGGTTCAGTGTTTTGCCCAGAGACACTTTGGCATATGACTGCTTGTAGATTCGAACCCCCAACTCTTGCATTTGAGGACGACTACTCTAACCACTGAGCCACAGCCACACAATAAAGTGTAAATAGGTTAGAGCGTGTATTATTAGAAAATCTGTTTTTTATGGTGCTTGGTGAAAATAACACAACTCCAAAACAGATCGTCTGTAACGTACGTAATTTCAATGCAAACCCTTTCCTGCATTGTCTTTATCTAATGTTGTTTTTATCCACAGCTGGGAGACTTTTACTTGGAGCTTCACTGGGACTTCCAGAGTTGGGGTGAGTCAAAGGCTGATTATTCTGTCCTACAGTAGTTAGAGTGACAGAGCTTAGTTTTCTGAAAACTGTGTAATGTAACCACACAGACAGGTGTTCACATCCCTCTGTTGGTATATGAGATTACATCCAGACAGGAATCGATGGAAATTGTCAGTAGCCCATTTCAGACATCACTTTTCAACTATGCTGTTTCCACTCAGCTTATTCAGTCAGAGTCAGAGAGGTTTATTTGTCATACACACCACGTGGTGGAACAAGATTATGTACGCAGGGTCCCAGTTACATCCAACAATAAAATGGAAAAGAAAGCCAGTAATAAGATCTAAGATATAAACTAAGAAAAACCTCAACTAAATAATACGCTAAGCACTAATGGCATAAAAACATTACGTTGAACAGCAGCACGAACATTCATCATTGTTGGTTTGTTTTGTGTAATATGGCACTGTGCTGCCTCTGTTTGGCCTGTGTGAGTTACAAAAGGGAACTGGGCTAGTGTTTGTCTGCCTACCAAGCATCTTAAAGACATGACGGCTGATCATGTACTAAACATTACTCCTCCTGCTGGACATGAACTGACAAATCATCCTTCATCTTGGTCTTTCTCTGGCAACAAATTGCCGTCAGTTAAATGTTATTTTGGTTGATTTAAATAATTCAGCTTCTGTCTGCACAGGTTCACCCCAGGACGGACTGCTATAAGTTTTTGTGAATTACTGCCTAATTGAAAATGATTGAGTAGGGCTGGACGATATGGCCAAAACTTTTATCACGATATCTTCCTTAATTTCGGTCGATAACGATATAATTCCCATAGCAATATAAACAATATAAAAGCCTCAGAAAAACTGTACAAACTGTACAAATAAATTAATGTTCACCTTTTATTTGTATTTAGCCTTCAAAAAAAAAATTGAAACCACCGTCAAATAGACATAAAACTCTCAACTTTTTTCAATATGAATTGTTTTAATTTTAAACAACAACATAACCTAACCTTTGCTGCATGGGTTTCTTTTGATACAGCTGGGGGTGTTGTTTCAGGGACACATTGGCTCAATTGTGCTTCATCTTTGTGACTCTCAGCATATTCTGTTGAGTGAAAACTCTTCAGATGGTGGAACAAGTTAGATGATGACAAGTTAGATCATTTTGAAGCAAAAACTAACCGCGATTTGGAGCTTAGCCTAGCCTAGCCTGCCACCGCTGACTCCTTCGGGACTCGAGCTCTGTGTGTGGTGTACGCCACCACGCACTTACGTAGCTGTGTCACGGCTTTTTCTGTTTGGGTTGACACGACCACCGCTTCAACCCAAACAGAAAAATGCGTCAGTGAAACGCTGTAATTATAGCGTAATGTATATTGAAATATCAAAACTGCGCTTAAAACTCATATCACCATTATTGAATAAAAGTATATAGTGATACATATCTATATCAAAATATTGTCCAACCCTATGATTGAGTAATGCACCCATAATATTAAATTGTTTCTGAACAGCGGAAAGTAAAAAGTCTAAAATTTGATTTATTTATTCATTAAGAGCTGAGATAAACTGTATGTGCTTAGAGAAAAGTCTGATTAAAATCTATCTCTTTGATCAGAGCTCTTATCAAAAGTATTTCTGCTGTCTTGCTTTTCAAGGCCCTCTGCTTCAAAAGATCATCTTGGATTTTAGATTTGCACACGTCTACAGTTTATCTTCAACTCTCATAAAGTGCTTTTTTAGTTGTATGGAATGATAAAACTACATGCAAGACAGTGAAGACTGAGTTATTAAATATTTAGCAGCAGAAGTGCATGTTATTGCTGGTATATGAAGTTCTAGCGTACAGACTTTGATGCTTCTGAAGCTTTGAAGTGAGTTTTTAGTGAGCTTACTAAATTTAATCATTTCTCTGATGTTTTAAATGTCCTGTCTGTGCTGGCTCATATTTTAGTGCCTTTGCTGTCCAGAATCCTGCCATCAGATGCGTGTAAGATTTACAAACAAGGCATCAACATCAGGTCAGTCTCATCAAAATTGTCTTTATTTTCAATCAATGTTTGATGTTCATAGATGACAAAAAGCTGACATAAAACCTCAAAATTAACTACTGTTTTTTCCCACTGTAAACAACCAAATTATGATTTGCAGTCGAGATTATATTTTTTGTCCTTAATGTGCTGCATACATCCACCTGAGTTTTCTTTCATCTCACTACTTCTCATTTTTGCTTCTAAACTTAAGTCAGAACGTGCAGTATGAGGAAGCTGGGTGGCAACACGTCAATTCAATTCAGTTTCTTTATATAGCGCCAAGTCACAACAGAAGTCATCTCAGGGCACTGATCTGTAACTTCGTGTTTCTGTTTGAATCAGAGCCTCGTGTTTGAGGAGTTCCAATTGGATCTTCTGTGCTGATTAGCTCACATACAAACAGTGTCAGCAGAAAACCATTACATTGTGTGACACACACTGAGACACACTGATACACACTTATAATAATGAAACTTCATTGGGAATCCATATCACTTGGCTCCATTTGCATTGTGGACAGAAATGTAATGTCATGCAGCATTCACCAGCATTGAGATACAGCTGCAGCATGTAAACTTACAGTATATCCACCCATCCAACCATCCATTATCTTTACCTGCTTCTTCCTTTTCGGGTTGCAGGGGTCACTGGTGCCCATATCCAGCAGTCACTGTGTGAGAGGCGAGGTACTTCCTGGACAGGTCGCAAGTCCATCACAGGGACACATGGAGACAAACGAAACAAATAGTATATGTTCAAGGTCAAGTCAGTTTATTGTCATTCACATCACATGTGGTACATGAGGTGGAATGAAATTATGTACTCAGGGTCCCAGTTAAACCCAACAATAGCAAAAATATAAAGTGCAAAAAGAAACAGTAAATAAGGATCTAAGATATATCCCAAACGAATGCCAAATGGTATATGCTAAAAGATCTAAGATATACGCTGAATACTAATAATGTAAAACAATATGTTGTAACAACAGCAGCCCCAACATGAGTCTGTGGTGAGCAGATGGATATGAATGAATACAGCAGCATGAGATAATTAGCAGCATGGATAATCAGCAGCACATATAAGTCACATATCACCAATTAAAGTGGCATTACAGTGCTCTTTTTTTTTTTAACTGTGATTTTTTCTGGTTATGGATTTATGAGCCTTAACAGCTTCAGGGTAGAAGCTGTTCTTCAGTCTAGTGGTTCTACACTTAGTGCTCAGCAACCTTCTACCTGAGTGAAGCAGGGCAAAAAGTGTGTGTGCTGGGTGAGTGATGTCCTTTGTGATTCAGGTGGCTCTCTTTCTGCATCTGGAGGTGTAGATATCTGTGATGGTGGGGAGGCTGACTCCAACAGACTTCTGTGCAGCCTTCACCACTCTCTGCAAAGCTTTTCTTTCTGCAGCTGTGCAGCCTCCAGGCCACATATTGATGCTGGAACACAGGATGCTCTCCACTGCACACCTGTAGTAGGAAGTGAGGACTGAGCTTCCCTGTACAGCTCGCCTCAGCTGCCTGAGGAAGTAGAGTCTCTGATGAGCTTTCTTGATCAGGCTGGTGTTGTTGTTTCTTCAGCTGAGGTTGTCATTCACCCAAGTATTTGTAACTGGAGACCCCTTCCACCGCAGAGCCTCCTATGATTGAGCGGGGGGCAGGGTGTAGGTGTGTTTGCACCCTCTGAAATCCACGACCATCTCCTTCGTCTTCTTCACATTGATGTGACGGTTGTTCTTCCTGCACCAGCTTTCCAGGTGTTCCACCTCCTGCCTGTAGCTGGACTCATTGTTGTTTGTGATGCATCCAACCACCACTGTATCATCTGCAAACTTTACAATTTGACATCCTGGATGGGTAGGTGCAAAGTCATACGTGAGCAGAGTGAACAGGAGGGGACTCGACACACAGCCCTGAGGGGAGCCAGTGCTGAGAGTTATGATGGAGAAGAAATTGTGGATCCTCACAGACTGCGGTCTGTTTGTTTAGAAGTCTAGGACCCAGTTGCAAATGGAGGCACTTAGTCCTAGTGTGAATAGTTTGTCCATCAGGGTTTGGGGGATCATGGTGTTGAAGGCAGACGCAAAGTCCACAAAGAGCATTCGGATGTAGGAGTCCTTCTGCTCCAGGTGGGTGAGAGCAGTGTGGACCACAGAGGAGATGATGTTCTCTGTTGATCGATTTTTGCAGTATGCATACTGGTGTGGGTCCTCGCTGATATCGATGGTAGCTTTGATTTGGGTCATGACCAGTTTTTCAAAGCATTTAGTGACTATCGGGGTGAGGGCTACTGGCCGGTAGTCATTCAGACCAGTCACTGTAGAGCTCTTTGGAATTGGGATGATGGTGGCAGTCTTCAGGCAGGTGGAAACTGTTGCCAGGGTGAGGAAGGAGTTAAAGCTATCGGCCAGCACCTCGCAGAGCTGATCAGCAGTCTTTCAACATCTGTATATGTATATATATTATACTGTCAATATATGTTTATATATAAGCATATATTGACATAGTAATTTTTAAAGCTGATAATAAAGTAACAACTTCTTTTGTTCAGAATGTACACAGATTATTTCACATTTTGTGAAATAACTCCTCAACTAAACTAATTTGAGGGTTAAATTTGAGTTTGTGCATGTGCTTGCGTGCGTGTATGTTTGTGTGCTCGCACGCTTTTCCTTTACCTTGAAATGAAGCATCTCGTTATACTCTGAAACTGCTCATGGCTGTCTAATTTGGTATTCAAAATGCCCTTTCAATATTCTGGAGATTTAGAAATTTAGAATGGAGGCAAAAAGAGACCAAGAAAGAAAAAAAATAAACTGTCACACAAAGTTTATTTGCATTCTGCCAAAGGCACGTTAGACTTTTCATAGCATCGTTCCACGGTATGTCTGGTGTTCACAAGATCCGTTACTCTCTTTGCTGCCATGCCTCATTTGAATACTGCTCTCTGAAAACAGACCCAAAAAAAAGCAAAATCGTAAGATTGTTGTTGCTCCTCCATGGCAGAGATCAGCATGCACAACATCTCTGAACCTTCACAGCAAGTGTGGAACATTTTCTGCAGTCTTGGCACTACCTTTGCTCTTGGATATTTGAGTCCAAAAATTAACTTTTTAAAGCACTTTTACTTAAGTTAGTTTATTTATTTATTTATTTTACTGCGGAACTTATTCGGCTGTCTTTCACTGTAACGTCCTCTCACTTACCTTTGTTTTTCTCTCCTTTTAATAATTTGTGGTTGTAGGTTGGACACAACCCTGATAGACTTTACAGATATGAAATGTCAGCGTGGAGACCTCAGTTTCATCTTTAACGGCAATGCTATCCCCTCTGAATCTTTTGTTGTGTTGGACAACGAACAGAAAGTCTACCAGAGGATCCACCACGAGGTGTGTGAGATCTTATTGACTCCTAAACTTGCAATGTTCTTTAAATTTAACACAAGAAAGCTGTTTGTAAAATGCAATATACGCACAGATTATTAACCTTACAGCGTTTGATTTAGCTAAAATCACTGGTACTGCCCTAAATAAAGTTGAATGCTTCTTAAGTGCACACATATCTCGTGTTTTTTCAGCCTAATGTGTTTATGTAAACAGCTTGCATGGATATGAAAAAGCATACCTGACTTACTCATACACTATGTATCTTAGTCTTTGTGTGTCCTTTCTGTTTTTACAGGAATCGGAAATGGAGACTGAAGAGGAAGTGGACATTCTGATGAGCAGTGATGTTTACTCCGCCACGCTCTCAACCAAGTCCATCACTTTCTCCAGGGCGCAGACTGGATGGCTGTTCAGAGAGGACAAGACGGTTAGTGTTGGATCATATGTGGCTTTATGACTTCCACTGGTTGAGCTTTAAAAACCTCAGGCATGAGGATCTGACCTGGCTTCAGCATTTCTGGAGTTTTTTAGTGTTCTGTTATGTTTCATTCATTCGTTCATTCATTCATTCATTCATTCATTCACTCATTCATAAATACTTTATTGATCCCAAAGGGAAATTAAATGTTGTTGTAACTCATTATCCTCATTTCATTAAGAGATGTTATAGATACTGATGGCTGTAGACAGGAAGGATCTCTTGTAATGGTCCGTCCCACAGTGGATCTGAAAAAACTGGCCACAGATGCTGTCCGATCCATACACCCAGACTCGGCTGACCTCTCAGTTCCCCTGGGCTGCAGGATCAACCGAATGCCAGACTGAACTCCTCCCAGAGCGATGGCCACTCCTCCCAGTAGCCTGCTGAGCTCCTTGTCGCTGCGGACAGACGGCTGAAGGTGTCTGGGGACGATCCTAGTCCTTCCGCTGTCACGAGCTGCGTTTCCTGCTAGTTCCAGGATCTCAGTGGTCAGGCACTCGAGCACAGCTGGCAGGGAGACGGGAATGCATCTACGGCGCCTCCTTTTGAACTCATTTGAGATTTGGGGCTGTAGCTGATATATTATGAGCTTTTGAAATGTTAATTAGCTGCTCCCAAATGTGGGAGGAAAAAACAAAATAAACACCTTGTTGCCATGGTTACGCATCATAAATGTCCAAAACAAAAAGTTTAAGTAAAAATCCTTCCCGTTGCACAGCATCCGATACCAGAGGAAATGATCATAAAAAAGTGATTTACATTCAGAAAAAGAGGAATTAAAGCTTCCAAAAGCAAAATCTCAGAATTAAAGTAACAGAGCTACTCCAACATGCAGCCACCCCGAGCAGCACAATTCTAGAATCCAGATATGTTGGGACTCTTGTAATTTCACTGAGGTGAACACAAAATTGAAGTGAAACTTAAAATATGTCCATTTTACACAATGTGACCCAATTTCCTGCTGCTTTGTTGAAATGTTTGAAAGGCTTGCGTAAAAAGGAAACAATTACAGAATCAAAGTAAAGTTCTTCCCTCTATTTTTAGAGTACTTTTCTTTGCAGTGGATTTTAGAGGTCGGTAGCACTTTAAGATCAAGTTCAAGTTGTGTTTGTCATATGCAAGGTTAACACAGGGTTAACAGTACAATGAAATGCTTTAGGATGAGAAGAACCAATTTGACTCGCGAAAAAAATCAAAGAACAAACCAACAAGAAATACGAAAATCTTGCAAAAAGGGTACACCAAAAAAGTAGCAAAAAGTGAAAAAGTAATTATAATATTTACAATGTTCTAAAGAGAGATGTTGAACAACAACATGGTAGAATATAATGGTGCAGCAGAACGAATTTGAATGAATAAGTATTTCAAGGTAGTAATATAAGCTAAAATGCACAATATATATACACACACACACGTGTATATATATAAATATATATACACACACACACACACTTATATATATAAATATATATATATATACACACACACACACTTATATATATAAATATATATATACACACACACACACACACAC